TCTCATCTACCACAAAATAATATATCCCTTGCAATTTGGATTCCAGGAAAATCATTCAGTTGAACATACGCTTATTAGTATGACTGAAGTCGTGAGGTCAACTCTTGACAATAAAAAATATGGCTGTGGTATATTTATCGATTTACAAAAAGCCTTCGATACGGTTGATCACAATATTTTGCTCTCTAAACTTGAATGCTATGGTATCAGAGGAAATGCCCTTAGATGGTGTGATTCATATCTATCAGATAGAACCCAATATGTTTCGAATAATGGAACCAACTCTGATTGTATGAATGTTACTTGTGGTAGACCTCAGGGATCTGTACTTGGACCTCTTCTCTTTCTAATTTTCATTAACGACTTGCCTAATGTCTCAAGAAAATTGAAATTTTATCTCTTTGCCGATGACACTAACATTTACTATGATACGGAAACTCTTGATAAACTAATGTCTCAAGAAAATTGAAATTTTATCTCTTTGCCGATGACACCAACATTTACTATGATACGGAAACTCTTGATAAACTTGTTAAAACAGTTAATATTGAGCTTAAATTCGTAAAAAGATGGCTTGATGCCAATAAGCAATCATTGAACATAGACAAAACTAATTATGTTATCTTCCATTCTACCACCTCTTTAATACCTCCAGACACTGTAATTAAAATAGAAAAAAAACACATCACCAGAGTCAAATGTGTTAAGTTTCTAGGTCTTCTGCTTGATGAAAACCTAAGCTGGAAGTATCATCTTGGTGAACTTTCCAAAACATTGGCAAGAACGTGTGGCATTCTCTTCAGAATTCGAAATCTTCTTACATCTGAATCACTGATATGTATCTAAAATGCTTTATTCATGTCATTTCTACAATATGGCATCACTGTCTGGGGACAAACATATGACTCATACCTGGAGCCAATATTCAAGCTGCAAAAAAAGGCTGTCAGAACTATTTCTCATCAACCCTTTCGTTCTCCCTCTCTTCCCATTTTTTAAAAGCTTAAACTTCTCAGACTTCAAGACATTTTTCAGCTAAGACTATTAACATTTGTTTATGAATCTATAAACAAGAAAAATCCCTCTTGCTTTCATGATTACTTCTCTTTCAATGCAAATATTCACCAACACTCTACTAGGCAATCTAATCGCGGTAATTTGTTTTTGACTCATAAGAACAGTTTTTGGTTTGGTCTTAAGTCTATTCGATATATGGGGGCAAAAATGTGGAATGACCTACCAGTAGAAATTAGAAGTTCTCCTTCAAAATATTCTTTTAAAAACAATCTTAAAATATTTTTACAAAACAACATAGTAATCAATGATGGTTTTTAAACTTAGTCTATAAATAGATGATAATTTTCTGTAGATGACTCATAGCAACTTACAGATGATTTTTTTACTTTTAGAACTAACAAATTAAGCAGAACGCATCTAATTTACTAGGGGGTGCTTTCTCCTCGATTAGTTTATAAACCACTGAAAAAGTTTCCTCCTTTAAATAATTCCCTGTTTACAATACTAGCTTGTTTCTTCTCTACTCTGTATTTGTTATGTTACGTTTATATTATTTAACTTCCTTTTACATTGTTTATACTTTTAAGCTTGGATTATTTCTAATTTGCAACAAGTGTATGTATCCAGTGGGATTTAAAATAATACTGAACTGAACTGAACTGAACTGAACTGAATCGCACTGCTTACACCCTCTTAATTTAAGAACAAATTAAGAACAATCCAGCCTCAGATTTTCGAAAAAAATTTAGGACAGTCAGCCTGAACTTAAATTTACTGGTTTTTATTAAAAATGAGTGTATTCAACGGCCAACGAGTCAGCTTTATAATCACACCAGCATACAAGTTTTTGCTCATCTTTTGCTTATGACACAAATTTGTATTTAAATCGTTGTAAAATAGCTCCTCATTTTCCTTTTATCTAGCAATTTATCAGTTCACAAGACATATTTTCACTGTGAAACTAACCTGTAGAAAAATTCGATTAAAGCATGTCAAGCCGTGACTTATAGAGTCAACAAATGCATCCATTTGATTTCTACCTAAAAAGTAGGATAGATTGAGCTATTAGTAATATCCGGATCTCTGGATTAACGACAAAAGACAAATTTAATCTTGTAGTTCCAATCAATCATAGTTTTTTATCTCAGTTACTTCTAAACATTTAGACTTAATTTATATTTGAAAAAATTGTTGAAAAAATTGTTTTCATGTTTACCACTATGCTGCCGCTTTTGCATAACATTCAAAATTATATTTAGTTTAAATTTTTTTGTCTAGAAATCTTTAATAGTTTGAGTGGCTGAGAAAGGAACAGGCTTCAAAATGAAGGAACTGGGAATGTGAAGTTTTTTCGCTTGTCCCAGGTATACAAAGGCACTAAATTAATTTTGTCCGTAAAATTTGTTGCTTATTATTTGTAATAAACTTTAGGCATTGCTTGAAAGTATAGTACCTGATCACACGAACAGTTTAACGTAAACATTCATCAAACCATGCGAAATTCTGGTTCTCATTCATACTGCGTTGATTATGAATTCAATCACTGATGAATTTTTTATGGAAATTGGTTCATCGTTTGGTTAGGTATATAGTTGCATTAGAATAAGCTCTATTTTGTTTTTGGTTGATCATATAACCTATGGTCGTATCTCGCAAAATTTTTCCATTTGCTTTCTTAATTGCTATTCAGTTTTTGGTTTAATGACATCATTGTTGTATGGGTCACTTGTATCTTAAAATAAAACTTTGTGGCTTAGAGTAAATGAAATAGAATGTTTTTACAAGCAGTCATATTAAGTTGGAAAAGGCTGAGACTGAAACCTGTACTTGTTTGGAATCATGAGCGTAATAGAATGGAAAATTATCAAAGACATTGGTACAAATTCCTGGTAACTTACAGTGAATTTTTTGAATTATTTGCGGTAAATATTAACTTTGTGTGTAGTTGGAACTAGAAATGAATGGCTTGCTTTTGCATCACGTACATTGGAAAAGGCAGAATTTTCAAGCTGGAATAAGAAACTTCAAGAAATGTGATAACAGAAGATTTAAGATACCCCTTTAATTTGACGAAGCATTGAGGAATAGAAAAACTGGTTCTAGAACTTGATTAATTCAAGAAAAAGACTGGACTAGCGATCTTTGAAAGTCAGTTTCAAGGTTCTTACTCAGGTTAGGAATGAACTGTAAAAAACGGGAAATCTCCCCTTACGACAGATATACTATCTTGTCACAACGAGGCTCGAAACAATATGGCTGAATGAAGAAGTCATGGCAACCCCGTAGACGAAGAGCAATTGTCTTTCGCATCGGTCTATGTAAAACGAGACAATGGTTATCCTAAGAAAAATAATGATCACAAAACTACGTGTAAATATGTACAGTTGTACTCTACAGTCCATTCAGGTGCAAGGATTTAGAAATTCTTTGGTTAATTCAATATTCTTACTCGAGGATAAACAAAATTTTAGAAACAGAAATCTGTAGAAAAACGACATAATCTAGAATTCCAATGCATGACAAAACATTAGTTGAATTCGTGAAACCTGACGCTGGATTAGACGCATAAAGATTCTACTTTCACTCTGATTCTACGCACGAAAGGTTGTTTTACGGTGAAATTTCTAGACATTAACGAGGGAGTAGAATTATTCTTTAATGCTGAAATTGTCTGAACTTTGCTGGCATTTCAACAGACATGAACGAGTTGCTGATCTGATTAGCCGTTTATTAACAAGTTGGGTGATTTACAGATGCCATTATCCTAAGGTAAGATGAGCTAAAGCCTGCCCAATGAATTTAACTTAGCCTGAGATTGTATCTATTTCTGTTTACGATGTTGCGTCTTGTGAGCACAATTTTTGCAATTTGAAGCTTAGAAATTTTTCTGGGCTCCTGATAGAAATCTGTATTTATGAATTACACTTGCATTCAATAATTACTGGGACACCTTCATCAAAAAAACTTTGGCGTTGCGTTGGATTCGGTTTTGCGAAAAAATTTCAGATATGGGCAGTGATTTTCAAATAATCTAGGCCTTAAGTATTCAAAAATTCGTAAAAACTCTAAATCGAAGGAATATGAAGAAATGTACAGTAAAGGCTAATGATGCGATTGCGAAGACCCATAACAAATAGAGTATTTCCCTTGAAAAAAATTAGATGAATGGGATACACAGTAACCGAATGTGTTCTGGTAATTGCGAATCTTTATATGCAGTGTACGATAAATTATTCTTGATGTAGGATATACGTACAAATGTGAATATGGTTTACTGGCAATTGTCAGTAATTAGAAACACATTTATTTTGCTAAATTTGGCTATGACTGCATATTATTTTTGTTTCAAAATGCACGATACATGGCGACATCTGTCTCTTTTGAAATAGGAGAACAGGAAGCACAAAGAGGATTAGATGCTGCAAACATAGAATAATACTTTCATCGCGTTTTTTATGATTTGCAAACATCAATTTCAGTTTACTTTTAAAAACAAATTTGAGATTATTTTATGTTCATAAATAGTGACAGTACATTTCGAATGAGTTTGAAGTCTTCGCGAAAGCTTAAAGAAATAAAAGTATATTTAAATTGATAAAAATTGAAGAAAATAAACAACTAGAACTGTCCAGAAGGCGACAAGTAAACGTCTTCTGACGAATGCTAAACATCCCCATTCTTTCACTCAAAAGACATGCGCAATAACATTTGCGTTCTATGTGCATGGTTGTTGACCGTAAGAGGAGGTGTTGTATCACACATTAAAAGACGGTCAATTCTTCTTCTTCTCAACATATAAGACAGAAAAAACACTTGCCTAAGCTAAAATAGACACGGTATGTAATGGTCAAGAAAATATCGCTTTATACAACTCTGCTCCAGATATTTGCAATTTTCTAATTCTTATTTGCTTCAAGTGTGCTACGTATTTAAGCGCCTTTTCTATCGGATCTTTCGCTGACTTATATTGTATCTAATTGCAGCATGAAACAATGAAAACAAAGCCCCGAAAAGCAATATTTAGGCCACTGAGAAGATTAGATAAACTGATCGCTTTGGAGAACCTAATTTGGGAGAAATGCAGGATGGATTGAGCTGACTACGTGCGATTTGGAAGATAATTCTTCTAATTTTACTAAAGGAAAACAGGCCGACATAATAAGATTAGAGATGCATGAGAAATCAGGTGTCAGATTTCGAGACATAAAGAGCACGTTGCATCAAATATATATTAGTGGGATTATTATTAAAGGACAGGAGAATATTACTAGGCTGTTAGACCGGTTGTGCTTGCATCAGAGCAGGAAAGAGCCTAACAGAGAAGAAAGCCTATTGATACAGAAAGGTAGTCTGAAAAAAGTAGAAGAACCTCCTAAATGCCATTGCAGAAAAGTTAACCAAATCAAGAAATGTGAACATCTGGTATCTAATGGATTTAAAGAAGGCAAAATAGATGATTTTTCTTCTGTGTCAGGGAATTTTAATTCGTTTAGTGCGCTTAAGGAAACAGAATACCAAAGCCGCGTCGTTGACAGGGCGTTGAATTGCAGCAAATACAACTGGGAGAGAGATATTGATGCTTTTAAAGACAGTGCTGAAGTTGATTGCAGAACCGCAATGAGGCAGAAGAAGGACCTATCGATTTGTGAGACATCGTCGACTGAACTTGAAGGAATTGCATCTGTGTGTACGAATAATGAAGAAGAGATCATGGCTGAAATACAGGCATTTGAAGAGATGTTAGAAAGGAATCTTCGCGAGGCAGAAAAGTGTCTTCACGAACAGTTAATGATTAAAATTGGTTACAGATATCTAATACAGAGTGTCAGCTTAAAAATCATTGAGACTGAAAAAGAGCTTAAGCAGGAAAAAGAACGAGGTAGACGACTTCAGAAAATTTGTCAAAAACGTAAACTTAAATCCGTTAAAGTCGGAGATGAGGATACAGAGAGTTACATGGTTAAAGAACAGGCTTGCAAAGAAAGAAACGAATTTATGGAGCTCTTAAGGATAAAGGAGTCGATTTTGATGGCCGATTGCATTATTAGTGCGCAAAAAGATGAGATTGTTGCCAGCGAAAAACTGATTAAAGAGTTTGATTTTTGTATATCAAAGAAGACAGAGGAACTAAATAAGCTAGAGAAGCAAATATATTCAAGAAAATCATATGACCTCGCTAGGCCACATTACTGCAATAGAAATCTTAAAAACATATGGCTTGAAGGATGCGGCAAAGATAAAAATGTTTATGAAAAGTCGTTTTTTAAGGAACTACAGATATTTTCTGCTAACGGTTTTGGAGGTGAAGAGCATTGTCCAATGTTGTGTGGTAGTGACAGCAATGATTACAAGGATTTTGCTCGAGTCAGTAGGTGTTTCAGGTGCAGCGATTGCGGCAAGATTGGTGTATATTGCAATAAAAATGGTGTCAATGATTGTACTGATAAACTGCAACCATCAAATGAAGTATGCGATTGTTTATACGAATTAAAGAGTGAGGGAACCTCATTTGGGCTAAAGGCTGAACTGAACAGCTTCCATACTAGTATACTTTCGCAGCATTACCTTGACCATGAGTGCGACAGCTGGTTTTATAGGCTACAGGTAGCCTCGAGGATGTTGCAGATACCCTCGGAAACGAGACTGGAACCAATGAATGAGGCAAACAATGCTCCGCGCGCCCTTGGTCGGTCACGAAGGAGCAGTATCAAGCAGCTTCCAAGGGATACCATATACAGAACCAATGCTATTGCAGTGTAAGGCTACTTCTGAATTAGAAATGCTAGTGGACTGAGCGATTGTGTAAAGATACCAGGGAAAAGTATTCCGACTGTACATGAAAACAAAGTCTAAAAACAAACTGAATTTAAACTGATACGTTGTTATATCTGAGATGAATATTTTTCAAACCTCTTCTCACTCAAAAACTATAGCTTCGTATCAAAATATATGCATGAGCTGTATATTAAATCTTCCGACCTTAGATTCAAACATAATTATGATACAATGAATTGAAACTGAATTTATATTTTTCTGAGATTTTTATCAATCAAATGTCTCTCTAGAACATTATAGCTTCCTTATTGCTAACCAACTAAATTCAAACGTCGGTAGAAAAAACATTTTTAGAAATATGTTGGTGCTATTGGTTGGTGTATATCAATACCCGCTTTTTTTAGTGTGTACTAGCCGCCAAGAAGTTTTTGAGGCCCTTGGGCAAAAACCGGAAAACGGGACACCCTGAGAAAAATTTTTGCAACCACATTTTTTAGATAAGCTTAAGTTTATTTATTCGTTTAAATTTTTCTACTATTTTCAAGCATAATATTTGTTATATTTAATTAATTCCATTTTAAAACAGAATTCATTTCTTTATTAGGCCCCTTAGACCCTCGATGCCTTAGGGTAATTTGCCCCCTTGCCCTTAGACCCTCCCCCTCTAAGCGGCCCTTCATACTATCTGCATGTAGAAGATTCTCCTTTATTTTATTTTTCACTTCGAGGCTAACAGAAGGAGTTAATTAAGAATGGCTGCAGGGTTTTTGCAATGTACAGTTCTGCACAAAACGTGCAGTTCTAGAATTCTACTTTAATGAAAAAAGAATTGTTGCAGGGAAAAACGAACAAACGATAAAATGATGAAACACAAAAAAGCTAAAAAAAATGATGCTCAAATTAAACAAACAACTTTTGGGAGAAAGAAATTATAGATATAGAAAGACATTCGATGCTGAGGAAATATAATTTTTACGAAACTTCATAGTGTTTCAAGTTATTTCGGAGCACGAAATTGATACCATCAAAGCAGGAATTTGTTTCAACTCTGAAATAAAACAATGTTTAATATGTTTCTGAGAAACTCAGAAATTAAAGAAGCAGAGGCAAGAAAAAGACATTCAAACATATTTGTTTCCTCAAGTATGTTTCCTCACAGGACAGACTTTAGAACAAGACACCCAATCGTATAATGAAAATCTTATTCGATCTAAAACAAGTAAATTATGAATATAAGTAAATACAAAACGTCTTACAGCGGCGATAAACTGAATAACTGGAATGGAAACTGAATACGAAAATACAATAAAATAAACTTACTTACTTATGGTGATGTCTCTAAAGTGTCTTTGATAAGCTGGTTTCTGTCTAAATATTATTCCTGGTTAGCATGCGGTAACGATCGTGTCCTATTTTCCAACGTGTGAATACTACTAACTAAAACTAATTTGCATAAGAATAAAACAGAGCGGGATAATACAAAGCAACTTGTCAACATAATAATAATGTCCTTTAAGAATATATAATCAACGAAACATCCTCCGCCCCCGATAAGGGCGTGGTCCTTATCAAATATGTAAAGTTATTTATCCATATCCTTCTGCTGGGCATATAACTGCTATCTTTGTCACTGGGCGACTGTATTCTCCTGTTGCTGTTTTTACCTTTACATTGCGCACTCGTCCATCAGGTCCCGGGAATACTTCAAGGATTCTTCCAATGTTCCATTTACCTCGGATTGCGTTGCTCTCGGCAACAATAACTGTGTCATCAGGTTGGACATTGCGGCGGTCCATGTGCCATTTCTTTAGTGGAACAAGTGATGGAAAAACATCTCGTATCCATCGTTTCCAGAATGATTTTACAATTTTTTGAACAAACTCTACCCTTTGACGTGGGTCTTTAGTTTCTTGAAATGGGCCTTGAGGTACTTCTGGGGTAGCTCTTCCTAACAGAAGATCGTTTGGACATAAGTAGGCTCCATCATCTGGATCATTTGGAATTCTACCAATTGGGCGTTGGTTCAATAAGTTTGCAACTTCCATCAAACAAGTGTATAATTCAAAGGGTCTCAAAACTTGTTCACCAATAGCGATTTTTAATGCTCTTTTGCTGCTCTTTACAAGTGCTTCTGCGCATCCATTTTGGTGTGGTGCTGCCGGTGTGATGAAAATCCAGTTTATGCCTTTCCCTGCACAAAACTCTTGAAGTTGGTCAGTGTCGAATTCCCCTATCATCTCTCTCAAAACTCTCTCTGCACCAACCATCTGTGTTCCATTGTCACTCAGAATTACTGCTGGATAGCCTCGAATGCAGAAAAATCTTCTCAGTACTTGTAAAAATTCCATTGTAGAACAATCGGTTGCTAGCTCTAGGTGAACTGCTCTTGTACTCAAGCATGTAAATATGACACCATAATGCTTTGCTGTTTTATTACGTCCAATTCTAACATTGTACGGTCCAAAATAATCACATGCTGTGTAGTAGAATGGTGGTGTTTGCGGTGTCAGTCGAATTGCAGGAAGGCTTCCCATTTGTTGTTCTTCTGCTTTGTGTGCCAATTCTCTGCAGAACACACACTTGAATTTAACAGATTTGCTTATTTTGTTGCCTGTAATAATCCAATGATTTCTCCTTATCTTTGCTGTGGTTGTCGATGAGATGTAAAACAATGAGACCTAACACAATACCCCTAAAACCGTGACCTCCGTGCAATCGGTTGCCCGTGTGGTGTACGTGTCTAGTTTATCAGCAGTGAAATCTATGATAATTGGCAGTAGGGCTGGATCTTGTCTCAAAGACAATAAGCTTTATCTGCTCTGCGCTCCAACTTAATAACTCCATTTTCGTCAACAAAAGGACTGAAGTGACTTGAATTCACCTTTCTTTAAACGGTTATGTAGCTTTTTTGTGCATCTCTTGATCAGAAAACACTCTGATTTCTGGAGTTCTTCGGGTTTCAGTGGTCCATATTAAACGGTACATGACGTTTAAGGCGTCTGATATTTTCAGCTAGTCTTTTGATCATGCATAAACTCGTATAAGCTTCGGCCAACTGGAGACTGTGTCATAATGATAACATTTTCAGGCTTTTGTTATCGACAAACAGACTTTTGTAGCTTTACGACGTTCACTGTCTTCTTTGACTGGCGACGGAATAGCTTTTGTTGGCCATAATCCTCCGCAGTTCGTAGAAACTCTGGTCCGTGCATCCATCTTCCGTTCAGTTCATGACATGAATCCCTCGTGACAGCTCGTCTGCTACATTGTTTTCCCCAGGAATGTGTTTCCACTGGCTGGGTCTGAATTGCTTTGAATCTCTCCTATCCTGGATGATACAATGGTTTTGTAACTGCGTGATGGACTTTGAATCCAAGCTAATGTTATCGAGCTGTCTGTGAAGAAATTAACATCCTTGATTCGATCTTGATTTCTTCTTGAATCGTTATTTGCAAGACGTTGGAATGCGGGACAGCAG